TATATATATATATAAAATCACCACAAGGTGCTAAACAAAACAGTGGTACAGTATTCTTATTGGTAAAGAGGGAGAAGTTAATCCAGATCTTCTAAAGATTGCAGAGTGTCTATAAACCCTTTTTTCTATAATACTAAAATTGTGATTATAAAATTATAGTCCAAATGTTTCTGCAAAATTTTCATTATGTATATAGATAAAACAGAATTTCATGACGATATCTGAAATGTAAATAGTGTACTATTGTCATGTACAAGCATACCTAATGCACACTTTATCTTTTATTGTACAAAAGAATAGTGTACAAAATTCTTCGGTTTCTATTGAGTACACATACAAGAGACTACCAATGTAAAGTGATAAATAAAAATACAGCCTAAATGCTTTTATATAATAATGTAAAAAATGCTGTTTTTGTATTTAACAGCAGTGAAAAGGCATGATTATGTAATCCCCTAATTATGACATAACACTTTTTGCCACTGAGTGTTCATTTATAGTGTCTGTTTGGAATGAACCTGGCCTGGAAGTACTGTACTCCATTTTGGGTCCCTGTAGGAGAGTGAAACCTTGCAGATTCCTAACGGGATGTGGGATCATAGGTCAAATTAAGATATCAAAAGCTGCAACTACTGGTTGCATTTTTTTTTTAATTTGCCTGACTTTTAAATCATAGTATTGTAGATTTTTTTTAATTAAAAATATTTAGATAGAATATTTGAGTCAGCTTTAACAGAATTTCCTAGCTACCTGCTTTGAAATCAGAAACATATCAGCGTTCATTTTTTCATTTAGGCTTTAACTAAGCCTAAATTAGCTATTCCAATTTATTTAAGCAAAAAACACAATTCCTATTAAAGTATGAGAGCAATAGCCCAATTGTAGGACTCATTGTTATTGCTAATTGTTAGCAGTAAGATTACAATTTAGCAAAAATGTGTTCCTAAATTACGAAAGGGATTCAGTTGCTAGTTGTCCTTGGATATTTTTACTGTATTCAATGGGCTGTATGAGCATAAGCAGTTACTGAATTCCCTTGCCTGCCAATACCAACAGCATTTTCCTTATTAATACTAAAGGTGAAAGGTGGCTTACTAAACTGCTAGGGGCAGTGGCCAGGATCCAAAGGACTCCACAGCTAGTTCAGTGCATCTATAAGGTTTTTCAAAGTATCTCTTGAACAAAATCTCCTTCCCAGTATGGAGATTACCAATGTTCTTGAACCATTGGCAACTTCCAAAACAATTATTTCTGATACAATGGAGTTCTTTTCGATAGAGGTAGCAATTAGTCAAAGCCCAGCTGAAGCATATCCAAGTCTTTGGATGGACCTAATGTAGTTCTTTGGATCCCAGCCAGTGATTTTATCAGTATTATGTAACATATCAGATTTATTTTATTTAATAAGAATTATTTATACCATTAACAGATTCCTATATATAAATATATAAATATATATATATATATATTTATATTAATGTGGCAGAAATGTGCAGGTTGAATCTATTAACCAGATTATTTATGTTATGTTAAGTTTGAAAGAAATGTGAAACATATATGTTAGAAGATGATAGTACACTACAGATACATGAACCTAAAGCTGTGAGGTTTCTCAAAATACCAGTACCTTTGAAAGAAATTATAACACAGTATCATTTTCAGTGTGGGTGCTGCTTAGAATGGCAGTGGCCTTCCCCCTTTTCCAGGTATCCCAATTCACTACGCCTAGGCCCAAGATGGAGTCCTTAGGACTACCTGCTACCTCTTCATCTGGAAGCCACCATTGTATTTGATCCTGGAACTTCATTCCTTAAAGTGGCCTAGTTACCTCTCCTAGCAAAGATTACTGGTAATCAGCAGCATCTAAGGCTGATGACAATAAGTCTATAACCAAAATGTAGTGCTTATATAAGGAGTACTTATTGCCTGCCTAGTTCATTTTCTCTGGGCCCAAGCTCCATTTTCCACATGATATGAGCCCCAGAGGACAACAGATTTAGGGAAATTATTTTTCCTATGGTCAGCTCTCCTTTCCAATGCACATAACCCTACCATGGGCTTAGATCACCTAGTCTCATGTGGACAGCTCTTATTCCGTTTTCCACACCCCAGTCTGAGGGAATGCAATTAACTACACTAAGCTACAGTGGCCTGGAGACAGGAATCCTTCCATCTGCTGGGTAGGTTCATTTTGTCTTCTATGTGATGGCAGGGTAGTCTCCCCATTCCTACATGAAAACTCATTTGAAATGATACTTTGTGTAGTTCAGTTAGCACTCTTATTTTTTGTTACAAGTTGATGTGTTTGTTACGTTTAAAGAGTTAATGTTGTCCATTTTTCGTACCAGCCGGCTTTCTGCTCTTGTCTAAACAGATGTTTCTATTCATGAATACTCATGGGTGTGTGTATGGGTGGATGTGTGTTTATATTTAGTAGTTTTTTAAAGATTTTTTTTTTGTCCCTAAAACTGAATTTGTATTGACCAACCCTTCTTTTGACATTTTTAACTAATTAGGTTTGTACTTTTCTCACCAATGTATACTTTACATTAGTAGACTATGTAAAGTATTTTTGTGCACTCGATTTCATTGGTTAATATTGGCATTGATGTGGGTGCTAGGAATAGTTTGTTTCAGTCCATACAGATTTTTCCCTCCTTTTTAGAGTTTTTATGGTTTTATGTAAGCAGTTGATGTAAATATTGTGAGCATTACAGGTCATGCAGTGTTGTAACATTTTTAAAAATGTTGCACATACTTTACAATTAAAAAGCTGGTCGCTCGTACTTGAATTTTGCCCATAGAGCCATTTCTTTCTCTTTGCATTAATGCATAAATTACTTCTTTTTTTAAAACTCAAGGCCCAACCCTGTGTTTTTTTGTTGTTGTTGTTGTTGTTTAACAAATCTATATTTTTCTAACAGAAGATTTTAACATTTAAAATGTTTTGCCACCTTTCTAACTTATAATAATAAGCTCCTATATTTAGAGAATGAGAAAATACCCTCATTTGCAAAGGTAGAAGAACTGATTCTATAACTTGGCACGATGACAGAAATGAGAAGTAGAACCAGTGAAATTGGGCCCCATAAGATGAATAGCCTCTCATTAGCTCAATTAGTGGATGTTTGTGTGGTGTTTTGAGGATATAAAGTGCTAACTATCCTCATGTGTCTATTTATTTATTTATTCTTGGTCGGTTGTGATAAAATTATATAAAATCAAAGAAATTATTCTTTCTATCATGGAGATTTATGAACACCATTTCTGTTTATGAAGAAGTTTTAGTTCATCTAACCAATTATTTAGACTGGCACTTGTTGCTGGCACTAGCTCTGAAAATCATATCCAAAGGTGGAAATTAATACATGTCCCATAGCAGTTATGGCCACAGTCTAAGTTTGGAGTTTTGTTTTAGTCTTTATATTTAAATTTACCAATGCCATTGTGCAAACAACATGCTAATAACGCAATATTATTGTGAATTCCCAGAATTTAATGGTATAAAGTATCATGGTGGACTGAATTACCTTTTATTAGCTACAGTTTGTATTTTGCTACATAGGGTTTTTAATATGAGTATTCCAGAAGAGCAGTAGCGTAAAATGCTTTTCTATTTTAAAAGAACCCCATTCTAGTCTTATTAAGAGTTAGATTTTTTTAAAAAAATACCAGTTTTGTAAAATTTGATAAAATTGTCAATATTATGATTAAATCACACAAAAAATCTCACTGTGATGTTCTCTTCCGGAAGGGGGCCATATTTGCACAACACTGATCTGGGAGGGGGTACACATCCCTGACTTAAAAATGGGGTATATATTGTAATATTAAATAACCAAAAACTAATGTTGAGTTAAATATTTAAATCTGAGATTCTTTGGCCCTTCATTTGCATGTTGTATCCACATTCTAATATTGGTGTCAATTAATTAAATACCATATCCACAGGTCCATTAAAAATCAAAAATATATAATTTCTTTTATATTCTGCACATTACCTCTAATGAAAACTTAGTATTATTCTTTAGTTTACTTCTTTTGTGGAACTTACATATATGAAGTTTGCAAATGTCTTGAGAACATGAGCAAATATATTTTAATTTCAGAATATAGTATATACAATGAATTGCATCCTACATATTTTTATCTGACACCTTGTGCTATGCACAAATAAGACATATTTGTTTCATTGTACACGCAAGTACCTTACTGATTATCTCCAGAAGTAACCAGTAACCAGATGACCATGAGAACTATAGAGTCTTCATGGATATCCCCATTTTTCTCAAAATATTGTAATCAAATACACACACACACACACACCACTTCTACAAACCCATACATTTTAGAAAGCTAGCTATGCTGGCAACTTTCGCAGTATTATTTTACAAAAGGAACCCTTATATGAAGAAGTATTTAAGGGTGTACATGCTATCATATTAGTGATCATAATAGTTTGCTATCATATTAGTGATCATAATAGTCTAGGATGAGGAACACATATTGAACTGAAGATGGTCCTGTTCACTGAATGCATCACAATCTTGAAACAGCTTGCTAATCCACATCCTAATTAATCATCAAAGTCCCTGTAATTCTAATGATCTTTCCAAGTCTGCATGGCTAACTAGCCAAGATACAAGAGATACCATCAGCTACTAGTATTTGACGTCTGACAATAAAATTTAAAATCATTATTTAAAAACAATAATAATAAAAAAATGTTCTGCTGAGTTAAATACTTTCCCTTTTGTCCAAGAGAAAAACTGAGGACTGATTTGCTT